TACGACAGCTGTTTTATCTTTCAGAATTGTGCTACTTAGATGGAATTTAACATTATGACCACCAGGTGGGAGACTAGTTCCCTAAAAAGGACAATTAAATGGCACGTAGTGTATATCGCTAGCACAACCACAACTACTCTGTAACCAACACAGAGCCCACAAAATGCACACGGATCTATATTTAACAGAATTTTTGGCATAATAGCACAAAAATGATATAGACGTAAAAAAGGGAATGATTACTATAAAGCACTTACAATGAGGACATAATTTTATAAATCGTATAATTAATCTAAAAAAAAAAGTAAATTAATTTACATTTATTCTTCTGTTAAAATGTGTGTATTATTTGAGTTGTGGAGCTGTGTGTGTTTAAATCGTTTTTAGCCATTTTAAGGCCTTAGGAATTACGTTGTCAATAAAGTTGTAAAGTTTCATATAACTTTAAAGATTTTATCACACTAAAATCATGTTAACAGGAATATTGTTCACATCTTGTTGTAAGTAATCTAATATTTACAGTTTGGCCCCAAACTCTTATGGTACCAAAATATCATCATACATCCCTGACTGAAAATCAGAAATAAAATAAAACAATAACATCCTTAAGCTCAAATCACACTATGAAAAAAGCCCTGTGTTTTTTACACAGTTATTCCAGTTTTTATTTTGCATTAGTTGTAACTGCATGAAAAATACATTTTGGTAATGTGATTTGAGCTTAAGGTTGTTGTCCTGTTTTGTTTTTTATTTTAAATTGCATGATATATCAGTTATTAGTTTTGAGGCCAATTTATTTCCACTGTAACCCAGATTTGTGCTTTTGCATTTAAAGAATTCACTGTGAAAAAATTCTGTAAAATCTACAGTAAAAAAAACTGCCAGCTGTGGTAGCCGTAAATAATACAGTATAGGAACATTTTAGGATTTAACTTAAATTTACATTTAAAAACCAAAAACTTGCATAATGTTAATATACCAGCCTATTGAAGCATTGAAATTTGTTATTTCAATGTTTTGATAAACACCAAAAGCAGGTGGTGATGAGAGTCAGATGAGGAACCAAAGCCCATCATAAGCAGCTTTTTTTTTTTACTTATATAGAAGGTGCACAGTGTCATTCACACAAACACTAAACACCATCATGGTAACACACATGAAACGGAAATAATGCAATAAACATTAATTTAACAACATTAGATGTAACAAACAACCCTGATGTACACAACTGATAAGAAAAAACTAAAAAGAAACACAGTTATTTCAACAAAAAACAACATCAAATATGAAATGTAACGCAGGGAATTTTGGGATTGTCAATTTACGTTTTTTCACTGTAAATTATAAGTTCTTTTTCCACTTCCAAAAACTCGATATTACCATAAAATTACATGTAATGTCCAATACAGTTTTTTTCACCGTAACTTACATTAACAAGTGAATAGGTTTTTACTGTAGCATTTTTACAGTCTTTTACCAATAAAATCATGGTCATTTTAACAGTAACGAGGAAAAAAGTAGTGGAAATTAATGTGGTAGTCAACATTATGCCAAAAGTGCTGTCGATTTAGCTCAACTTTTATTGAATATTCCTTTAAAAGCTTAAGAAACTGATGGCATCATGGAAGTATTTGAGGTTCTTGTTTTCTCCATGATTTTTAAGTCAGAGCTTTTAATCTCGAGTTAAACCGCTTAGATGGCTTAGTTTTAGTCTTTAATGCAGACCCCCTGCTGACTTGTCCAGTTAGATTGTGGGTCAAATTTGGGACTCTCTAATGAACCGAAGCTGACATAAACCTGTTACCATCTCGTAATGTGTTTCTTCACATTTCTGATGTGGGATTACAGGAAACATCACACATAATAGTGGTGCAAAAACTAAAAGTCTGAATTCACTGATATGAAGAAGTAAGGCAGTTCACACCATTTTAATATAAACACCATTTCTGTCAGGACCACTATCGTCAAAGATGATTGACAATTAGCATACAGTTTGGATTGGCGGTATGGTTCCGTTCTGGGCAAGAACTCCCTGCGCATCCATGCAGCCTAGCATGGATGAGAGCAGGGAGAGCAGCGATAACCCCCCCAGGGTAAACAGAACAGAACCAACATAAATGTATGCAGATATCGTTAAAGTTCAATAATGTTATGTACACATTTTAGAATTAGTCTGATTCAAAGGAGAATCAGAAGGCTGAATCCTGACTGACAGAGGAGGAGTTGGGGATGGAGGAGGGTAATTAGCTATTGAGCAATGCGAAAACTGCTGATACTACTGCGGGACCTTATATATGAATACTTAGATAGGTGTCGTATTCCCATAGGTTGATGGGGATCAGCTGAGAGTCAGCTGATGCGAGCTTGACTAACGTGACCTGCCAGAACTAACGCTACGCTTGATGTATAGAAAGTTTGTCAGTTCACACATTTCAGAATCTCTGGTGTTTTGCATACCACACAATTAAATAAGCACACATATCTAACAGTATACTCAAGGAAAACAGTGTTTAAGATGACAGGTTTAAATGTGAACCTGGTTCTGAAGTTACAGTACCTAACATGTGACTTTGTACTCATACACTTGCCACATGACACCGTGTGAATGCAAGACCCTATACAAGAAAGACACAGAGAGAGAGAGAGAGAGAGAGAGAGAGAAAGAGAGAGACTGGAATATGGTTTTAGTCACTGAACCTAAAAATATTGGGTTGTTGATGTTTCATAAAGTGAGTGTTAGTTTTCATTGGACTACCGGGTGATGATGCAAATGGCCAATCCGTGGAGGGAATGCTGGATTAGCCCAGAGAATCATTGCATGCATTATTTAGCACTAATCTGTACTCTTAAATCCAACAGGCCCTCCTCACTGAAATGAGTTACACATAAAATCTGTTCTGAGAAACACAGTGGAAGTAAGTCATCGCAGTTAAGCCGTCACCTGACTCCAAATAACTGCCAAAATAATGCTGTTGCTTGATGAAACGTTTGTCACATACTTGGTTTTCACCACTTTACCTTTATAAAAGTCACTCTATTCTTTGTTTCAGTTCCGTTTGAATCATTATATTGGTAGTTTTTGTCTGTAAGTGAGGTATTCAGATGAAAGATAAGGAACTTCCTTTGATTCTTGGTTATTTTGAACATATGACTCATAGAAATCCTATTGAAATGTACTGTTTTGTTTTTTCTTTTCTTTTTCTTTTTGGACAAGGGAAATTCTTAATTGTTCATAAGGGTGAATGCTAAATGCTCTAAATTTATTTTTACATTTATTTTTCATTCATTTACTCTTATCATTCATTTCAAACCTGTTCGACTTTCTAAAGGTCAATAGGGTCCAAAACATCACTGGACCCCGTGGATTTTCATTGTATGGACAAAAAGCTTTAAGAAATTATTCATAATATTTTCTTTTGTGTTTCCGCAGAACAAAGAACAGTGAGTAGCCTAAATGATAACAGAATTTTAATTTTGGGGTGAACCAACCCTTTTAAGCTTGCACTTTCTTTATGAACTATACAATTTCCTTATGGTATTTCGTGTGTTTAATGAAGTAAACCTTTCAGTTCGGTGCTAAGATGCGACATGGAGTAAGTCAGACCCTTGTAGAGGTGTAGACAGTAGTGAGTTATTAATATACTCCATATTGCAGTGACTCACTCAGCTCGTGCGTTGTAAATCTGCCGTAAACAGCACAAACCGCCGCTAGAGGTCTCAGACTCAGTGTTGACAAACAATAAAAGAGTTCTATGTGAACATCAATACATACCCACCTTCGGTTAAAACGCGATGCGGGTTTACGGTGGACAAATGTTGCGATTTGTCACTAATCTTCCCTGCTTATAACACAAAGCCAGCTCCAGTTAACCAGAGAGCTGCTTCTGCGCGACTGACGGGACAAAGCCGCTGCGGTCCCATATATCCTCTACAGTATGGTATATGACGAGCGAGATACAGTATCATAACAGTGAGTGTAAACAATACCCGGATTAAAAAAACGCTGCATGTAACAATGCTTTTACGGGGTCTGGTTTTACTGTATATGCACGTGCAAACGATAAAATACTTTTTTTCGTGAACCTTTAGTTACACAGTTTCACACCTTTGTTGCACTCTTAGTATTCTGGCTGCAACAATGCATGCATGTGTAAGTAGGTCAAGAGAATCGTATTGTTCAGTCAGTGTGTGCTACTGCCCCATCAGTATGTCGATTATAAGAATGAATGAGAGCAAAACAAAGAAAAAGGATTTCAGTATCTCTCACGGGCACTGCAAATTATAGATATCTTGCTGCAGACAACTATTGGGCAGATGCTGCATCAATGTCCATTCCAATGGATGTCACTTTTCTCGGATGTTTGTCATTTGGTGACAGAGACTGCTAAATCAGTCTGTCATACCACACATGCATGACAGTCTGTGGCACATGGCATAGTTCTAACTATTATAGTCTATTTATATTAATATACTACATCAATAAAAGTTTGTTTTAAAGTGAATCTTAGAGGTGACATTAGCAATAAAAGTCATATCATATTCAGGATGTTACATTTAGACATCTACAATTATTTTTTATTTGATGTCCATTGTGATATTATCAAATGGATGTTTTGTATGCAAAAATGTTTCAAAAACAACACAAGTAGGCCATTGCATTGCATTGACATTTAACTCGTCTTTCTGGAAACATGCCAATAAGTTGTGGTTGGTGTGACACTAAAAAAAAAAAAGGTTGAAGAACCATTACTGTTGTACCCTTGAGCAGGGGACATGCTGTCCCTGTAGTAAATATACATGCATAATTGTTGATGCAGAGATATTTATTATTGTTCCTTTGTAAGTGCAACATGGCAAACAAAATATTACACACACACACACACACTATATATATATATACAGTGTATATATATATATATATATATATATATATATAATTACTTGAACAACCACAGTCTACACAGATTTTTTAATTCACATGCATTTAATATCTAGATGACTGTAGCTTTCCCCCCCTTTTGGCACATGTTATGATCATTTTCTGGATGTCATGTTAAAAGAATTATGTAACATTTTAAGTAAAAACGCACTTGAAAGATAAGTCAGCTTGCCCCTGATTTACATATCAAAACAAAGAGTGATCAAATTATTTTGTATAAAATTGTATTTCGTTTTCTTGCAATATCTTAACACTAATTCATATGTATAATTACATGTATTATTATACAGAACAAATAAGCATTGTAATTAAAATATATTAAAACAATTATAAACTAATTTTTAAATTGGTTATTACTGATTTACTATTTATCAGCATTAGAGTAGAAATAAAGCATGCTCATATGTTTGAGTCCCTGCAACATAATAAGAAATGAACAATAAGCATGGTTTCGTAACTAATAAAATCATTTTCTAACCCTTGGTGCTTCAGACAATGGCAAATCAAATTTCGTGCGAATCACTCCAGTCCACATATGCGGCCTAAAATCAGCCCTATAAAACTGATCATTGCGAAAAAGTACAGCCTGTTTTGTTCGTCTGCAAGTTTCGGAAACGGCTGGAAGAATGTCCAAATGTTGTATGGAATCGCGGCGGTTTCACACCACAATGTTCCTCAAAATGCTCCGGTCGATCGGAAAGAATAGGGAGTTAATATGGCTGTCCACAATTTATCTGTCAGTGGAGTAAGCTCGCCTTGTGCTGCCGACACGACGCGCATAACAACCCATTTAGTTCCCATAATTTCAGAGCTTCTTGTCCCCTCCCCTCTAGACACAGACAACAACATACACCTTAATAGGGGCGCGTCTCCGACACAGCCGCCGACCAATAACCCGTCTGTCTGGGCAGAGACCAAGGGGATGAGCGCTCGCCGAGGCCCAATCAGCGCTTTTGTGTTGCCTGCCGGTGCCGGGGACTGGTCGTGAAGAGCTACAGCAGCGCTTCAGGATCGGAGAGCGAACCCGGAGCCAGAGGAATCTGAAGGGTAAAGGCGAGTCAGGTGAGTCCGGGGATCCACGCGCGGCCTAGCCGGTTTCGGATCGAATTGGGGAATTTGGGAGCGATATGGTTCATAATCGTTTCCGCATGCGATTCGGCCGTCGTTTGCTGTAAATGAATGGGCTAAACGGTTAAAAAGGGTTTTGAGGGAGTCTGTCGAGCATCCAGACAATAGCATAGCGGATTTTGCGTGGAAAGCAAAGCGCTTCTAACACGCAGCAGTTCAAAGTGGCTGGCTAATACTATTAAAATGAGCTCGGGATTGCGCCGTGGCGTATCGCACATCGAGCGGCTATTTCAAGAGCGATTCCGCGAAAAGCCCGTCATATTTAGCAGGCAACTTTGACAAGTTTACCGGCCGAAGTAGCATTTTATATGTGTGAAACGGCTTTCATTGTTTCATCTGGTGTCTCTAGGGGTTAACCCAGATTGGCGGAGAAAGCCTCGCGTCCTCCCGGCTGTGGCTACAGTAGTGCAGTAGCAGCTCAGACACAATGAAAAAGCCCAACATATACACACATGCAACGCCATCAAAATAAACCTAACGCGCGTATTCCTACGATATCAACTCAAACGGGCTGTTTAGTGAGTGTTTTGTGGCTGTTCGGGGGAGCGGGCTTTCTCTGTACAGTGCCGAGGGCACACGGATGGTGTACGGTGAGCCTGTACAATTAGAAAAAAAAGATGTCGAAAATGCATCAGCCATTTACGTAAGTGAGGACGTTCTCTCAACTTGCTCCATATGCACGCAAATGGCTGCCCAACACTTGACAGACGTAAGAGTGAAATCTAATTCCAGCGTGAATGCAGGTATTGATCGAAGCCAACAGGGAGCCACTGATAATCGGGGGAGATGACGTTTAGAAAGAAACTCTGATCAATGATATATGCTCTCTGTAATTCGTTCTCTGCAGACACGTCCAAAGTGAGACTGGCTTTACTTTATAGGCTTTATATAGTCAGAGGCTTACTCTAGCAGTCTGATTTGCAGAGTTTGACCTCACAAGAATTTTTCCTATGCATTTAGTAAGCAGATGACAGTAGTTTGTTTGAGAAGACTTTTACTTTTTTTCTGCTTTATTTTAAAGTAAAAAAATGCACTTAACAGATAGTTCCACTATATAGGCAAATTCTTATTTTGCTACTGTCCAAAGTTTTTTAATACATGCACTCAGTAATTTTTTGCTCATTTAAAAAAAAAAGTTTTACATATAAAGAAATTAACTGCGCTAAATCAAGTGGGTCACCCGCTCATGGGTGCTGCCATGTTGAGATCACATGACTTGCCATGTCATGCAATAGAGTCAGGTTCAGGTTATTTTTTTAATTGGGGAATTGATTTTTAACAATAAATTAAACGTGAACTACAAGGTTGTTAATCAGTGTTATGCTTATGCCAACACTCTGCATTATTTCAACTTATTTTAAGTAACCATATTTGACAGCAGATTTCTCAGTAAAAAAAACTACATTACCCATCATTATGCAAACAAATCAGTCAATCCGATAATTAAACCAAGCAAATCACATCAAAAGAACACTTTAGCACCTGTGCTTTCGAACTCCCTACATATTTCTGTATATATTCATATTTTGCAATACATGTTGAATATGTTTTTTCTATATACACAAAACAGCTTTAAATCAATATTTTATTTATCTATTTTTTATTGTCATTTGCTGTGCTTCACAATGGGATTGTAGTCCTTTCCCTTGCTCAAAGTTGTTGAGTTCGCAGACTTTTGGTTTGATTTTTCTAATACTATTTTGCTTCAAATGAACGTTTGTGGTATTTTGATTCACACTGTTGATATTTAGTTTGATTCATGGCTTATAACTTTTTAACAAAGACTTTATAATCCCAATGGGAAAAATACTTTTGTAACCAAGGCCTCTGCAAAAGTGACTACTACCACTACTAACAGACATAACATAGCAAACCGAATGAGTTTGAATTCAAGAAAGACACAAAAACTAACAAATTAAAAGAAAAACCAACAGCTTGGGTATGAACATGCTATTTGCATCCACACAAATAGGTGTCAGCATAAAGTTTAAAACCACTTAACAGGAGCCAGCTGAATGTAAACACAAACTTACTGAGTGCACCTTTTAAGTTCAAGGAATTATTAAAGAAACTAACAAACTTATGTACTCCTAGATATTTTTATAGCATATAAAAGTTTCCCACTTTGACAAGTCACAGAGAAAAAGCTCTCCACCCACTGTTATTAAAGTCATTTATACTTATTGTGCAGAGAGAAAGGTCCGCATAGAAGTCACCGAACATGTACTTCTCTAGGAATTACCCTGGTGAGATCATTCTAATGTCTGATGTAAGTAATCTGTGTAAACAACAGAACTAAATATTGCTAAATATTTTTTAGCAAGTAGCACATCTTATAAGAGCCAATTGGAGTGTTTTCTGCTAATTTTGAAAAAGGCTGCTGCATACTGTGAGGGGCGCCCCACTAGTATTACATCCTCAAGAGGGGTCCAAACAATGTTCTTATTGACTGTTTTGCTCAAAGGCATTTTGTGTGGACTCTTCCTCCCCCTCAGGCGGAAGATACTTGGCAGTGTGGTATTTATTTTTCTACCTTTTTTTGGGCTATAGTTGGTGCACCCGAGCTTATGGCCATTGCCTGTGAAAGGATTTTATGCAGTTTGTTCTCTTTAATTTCCATGGTGCACAGGCACCTTATTGCTAGTGACTGTCTGGCTTTGTTAAGCCCACGAAACCTGTGAAGTGCGGTGCCAGGTGATAAGACGGAACACACTGAGATGAGCAAAGACTCTAAGCTCAAGTTATCAATGTAGATTCCATCATAGATCTGTCATGGTACCTCAAGTACCTGTTCTACCTAAACCTACTACACACCAGATCTTATGTTAGTAGTGGTGCTTTAGCACAACATTGACATTCCCATGTTGAATGCAAGGATTTTCACTTTAAATATAAGCCCAATGCATATTTTCAAGTGGTTCATGATTGAGGGCTTAAGCCTTGTGCTGTGGATAGTTCACCCAAAATACAAATTTTCATTTGCTCATGTCAGTGGGGTCCAAAACAATGTTAACATTCTTTAAAATATCTTCTTTTGTGTTCTCTATAAGAACAAAAGTCACATGAGGGTGGGTAAATGACAGAATTGATTTTTTTGGGTGAACTAATCCTTTTTATAAGCATTTGTAAGTGCAGAATTACTATTCACAATCTAAAAACTATCTTTGTTCAGGTGATCCTGCATTAGATCATATTTTGACTTAGCACTTAACTCAACTTGGATTCAATCATGGGTTCATCTAGAAGATGAGACCATGCCATTGAAGAAGACATTTGAGAGGGAAACATTTAGAACTGGATATTGACTCTTGGATCAGAAAGAGTACTTGACTTGGCTGGGTTTCAGGACTGCTGAATGGTCAGAAAAGGTAGTGTTTAGAATTAGCAGTGCCCCTTTGGCAAATGTATTGAGTAGACACAACAAAGCTGCTTGCTCTGTAAACATGCGCCATGAGATTTATGGTAGTGCAATATGATGATGTGGACCCAAGTTGTGCTAGTTTTGTAAAACGAACCCTCACTGCGACAATCCTGAAAGCCCAGAGCGGGGCATTGACACTCAGATGCCCTCCCATTGATCTCCTACCCTTCAACGCACCTTCAGTGTCGTTAGCGTTGTTTTAAAGGTTAGAATGAGAGGGAAATGTTCACGTCCAGTAGTTTTTTGGTTTTGTGTGATAGTGGGTTTAAAAAAGACCCTCAGGACTGAACTGTCAGGTCCAAAAGAGTTTGATTCATTGGCTCTTGGGTAAGCTAGGGGCTGCTGCTCGCCCTTTCTCCAGATAAGGCTTATTGGTCTAGGAAACAATATGATCACATGTCTTTTGGCTTTATAAAACAGTGTAATGGACAACATCATTACTTCAGACCTTCCCATTGACATCATAGAGAAATTAGTCTGTCATATACTCAGGAATGTTTTTGATTGTACTCGTTTTGCGGTTTGAAGTTTAGTTACAGGGTTACAAATCTTAATCGCATATAGCCTACCATAAGGTTTTAATAATTAATCATGTACACTGCAGTTTATCATTTAGCTGTTTTCATTTTTAATTCAGCATTTGAACTATAGTTTCCAAGCGTTTTCTTGTAGAGAAAATTTGTAATCAAGTGGTGTTCATACTAGATATTGTCAGCCTGTATCAAGTCTTCCGTTTTCATTGACTATATGAGAAGGTCTGATTGATACCTACTCAAAATCAGTGCTTATTTCATGACCCATAGTTATGTAAAATTGAGACCTGAATGCCTGAATGTTTTGAAAAGAAAGAAATCGGGATAATTACCCCTTAATCAGAAACATTACGTTTATTAAAAAAATTTCCCAAGCAAAAATCCTTTGAGGGTGAGAAGTCTTGTCGGTTGCTTGTACATGCTACTAATTGATATGGATGATGTTAATGAATGTGAAGTGATAAATCTAGATCAGTGAAAGAAGTGCAAATAAAAAGAAAAGTATGTCAAACTGTTTTTGGGCCTGATGCCAATCTATGTCAGTATTCAGTAGTATACAGTAGGAAGTGTTTTATAAAGGGTTAAGTTAAAAAAATTAACATTCTGTCATCATTTACTCACCCTCATGTCGCTTCAAACCTGTATCACTTTCTTTTTTTTTCAGCAGAACACAAAAGAAGATATTTTGAAGATAGTTGGAACTGTTTTGTCCACACAATGAAAGTCAGTGGGGTCCAAAACAACATCTTTCACTGTGTGGAAAAAACACTTAAGCATTCTACAAACTATCTTCTTTTGTGCTCCACAGAAGAAAATAAGTCATTATAGAATGGATAGTGTTGTTATCATCATTTAAAACTATTAAACATTGTTTTCATTCATTAAAATACAGCTGAAATAAATAAATAATGTTGACACAAATACCTGAGGTAATTGCAATAAAATAAAGTTGATTGACCTTCTCAAATTAAATGAAAACT